TCCCCAACCAGAATACCACAGTCAGTAAAGTGACATCTAAACGATGTAAGCAACTTTTTTTGCAAAACAAAACAAGAATGTATGCAGGTAAATACAGCACATAGTCTTACCTCCAAAAATGACACTTCAGTCCCAACATTCAACACAGCCTGACGTACCTTCACATTCTTTAATAATACTAAAAAATACTGTGTGATTTTTACTTTTTGGGTCTTCCCATTTTGTAGGTTTACATAGTATCTATTTCCATAGAACAGGGCAACGCATTAGATTTTTATTCCTAATAAACAGAAGAAAACTATCTTAGAAGTAATAATTTTAAATACCTTTCTCTATCATCTTATTTCTCCATAGACAGGGTAAAATTCAATGTCAAGATAGTCTAAATACCACACACAACAAGCCAGCTTATTGTTTCTCATAAAGCAAAACTACCACCAAAGCAAACCCTCAAGCTGTAAACAGTGCTCAAATGTACAGTATTGCCAGTCAAAGCCCATCTATTTTTCAGTGTATTGAGAGATTTGAAGATTGTAAATCTCATGCAAATCCTAATATACTGAGGTCCTTATACATGCAGCACTTAATTAAATTTTCTCTGTCGAGGGTACTCATTGCTATTAGCCTGAGAGGAGGTAATTAAGTTCTCCAATGAAGCGTTAGCAGTGAAAGAACAGTGTACACCGTGCTGTCTGCAATATGATTACATTTCAGCATTTTCTGCTCTACAAATTTTTAGAGAAGAAAAACTAAATGAACAAACATGTGTATTCTGTTCATAAAATACACTAGCAGAATGCTTTTTCATTCCCAACCTTTCTTTTAAATTTAGCTGCTTTCATTCCCCAGCAAAACATTTGCCAAATATTTGTTCACATGTTAGGATGTAGACTATATGCCTCCTCTGACCAGAGTGACCAGACATTTTTTTAATTACCTTGAAGTAAAGATTTCCCCTAAAGGAGAATATTTCATGTACAGGCCTGCTCTACCTGCTCTAGACCAGTAGCCACTGCTGTAATATATGCAGCAAAAGTGACATGAATCCTCTGTGACTTCTGTTTTTTTCATTGGTGCCTAAATCACATTTGCTTGTGACTGAATCCAAGACTCTGTTACAAGTGGTTGTGCTGCTGTGCTACTTGTACATGTCAAGAACATTATTTTTGCATTACATAAACCTCTCATTTTTGGAGTTTATTTATCAGATGTGTATTAGTCAGAGCTGTTACACTCTAATTTCACAGATTACCTATACAGCACATGCTTCTTGAAACCTAACTTATTGAGGTTGTAGTGACAAAGAAAACCTCACAATCCCACATTCAGTGGTTTCCTTTTTTTAAACGCTTAAAACCCTTAAACTTGGCTCCATACCTAGAGTATGTCACTATAACATTGAATAGTCACCGCTAAATAAGCAACAACAAAATCATCTTTAGGTGTTTTTTTATTATTTACAATCAAAAATCTTATCAGGACAATTTTTGTGTAGTTCGATCAGATTTGATTAGTAACCAAAGAACCCCACAAATTTGCTGAATCCTAATTGGTGTACAGTAACACATGACATCACCTTTTCCACACTGAACACTTCCCACTTCAAACCAGTAAAAAGACACAGCAAAAGAAAAGCTATTCTGACTCTGGCAAAACAACACCTGTGTACATGGAGGCTCTCAAAACTCATAACGAGAAGTTGATTAGAGGGATATGTTTTTAAAGCTTTTCAGTCTTGCTGCAGCTTTACCCATCAGTCATAATTTGGTCTTTTGACCCCATCAGATGATCTCTGCAATTGCTTTTATATCTACCACCTGTCTCTGGTGGCTAGAATAGAAGTATATCCAGGGTTAAACATAAGATTAATGTGTAGTGTGAGCTGCCAAGGTAATTAGTTCAGTTAGAATCGCATTGATCAACCTCAACACTCAATCCTGAGAGCATTTACAGTGAAGGAAAAGGGAGGGGTTCAGGCAAATAAAAGGAACAAGGAAAAAATGTAGAGCAATAAAGTGCACAGGTTCTTTGTATGAGATTCTGGGCAATCTCTTTAACTTTCATGGGTGTCAGAGCACTTAACCATTTTGTGCTGAATAGCCCTTATCTGCCACACAATTTTTTAATAAGTGTTAGTTGATACCCTGTTCATTTTAACTCAAGGCATTGAGACTCCTAGGGTATTTTTCCAAGAAAAGGGAGATGAGATAGAAAAAAAGAAAAGAACAATGATGACAAAGAAGTGTTTAAGGTGCAAAGAAGATTCACAAGAAAGTGGGGTGATATTGGCTTCTAATGTCAGTAGGGTAAAATAGCCTGTCAGTGTATGTGTCCAACAAATATCTGCTGTTTTAGTTACTACCAGTATTAGCACATAGTGGATGCACCCAGGTGGGCTTTAGTAACAACCAGTGTAACCAGCAGAAACCTATGACTGATGCCACCTTGGCTAATCTGGAGATGTTCCATCAGAGAGCGTTTTCAAATATAGAAAGCTGATATTTTTGTCAGTGAGGTGCAGAGTCACCATGACTGCATCTACTGCTAACTGACACACATAATCCATCATGTCTCTGGAGAGGTGTCGCTTTCACCTTCATTCTTCCTCTGACATGGAAATATGAGACATGGTGATGAAACATTCTTTTCCTGTAGCTTCTTCTCCTCCAAATTATGTACTTCATTCATAAAATGTGATAAGAAAAAATATTACATGTAAACATATTGCATATAAATATCTATAATAGTAGTTTCCTAATACAGTGCCTTGCAAAAGTATTTGGCCCCCTTGAACTTTGCGACCTTTTGCCACATTTCAGGCTTCAAACATAAAGATATAAAACTGTAATTTTTTGTGAAGAATCAACAACAAGTGGGACACAATCATGAAGTGGAACGAAATTTATTGGATATTTCAAACTTTTTTAACAAATAAAAAACTGAAAAATTGGCCGTGCAAAATTATTCAGCCCCCTTAAGTTAATACTTTGTAGCGCCACCTTTTGCTCCGATTACAGCTGTAAGTCGCTTGGGGTATGTCTCTATCAGTTTTGCACATCAAGAGACTGAAATTTTTGCCCATTCCTCCTTGCAAAACAGCTCAAGCTCAGTGAGGTTGGATGGAGAGCATTTGTGAACAGCAGTTTTCAGTTCTTTCCACAGATTCTCAATTGGATTCAGGTCTGGACTTTGACTTGGCCATTCTAACACCTGGATATGTTTATTTGTGAACCATTCCATTGTAGATTTTGCTTTATGTTTTGGATCATTGTCTTGTTGGAAGACAAATCTCCATCCCAGTCTCAGGTCTTCTGCAGACTCCATCAGGTTTCCTTCCAGAATGGTCCTGTATTTGGCTCCATCCATCTTCCCATCAATTTTAACCATCTGCCCTGTCCCTGCTGAAGAAAAGCAGGCCCAAACCATGATGCTGCCACCACCATGTTTGACAGTGGGGATGGTGTGTTCAGGGCGATGAGCTGTGTTGCTTTTACGCCAAACATAACGTTTTGCATTGTTGCCAAAAAGTTCAATTTTGGTTTCATCTGACCAGAGCACCTTCTTCCACATGTTTGGTGTGTCTCCCAGGTGGCTTGTGGCAAACTTTAAACGACACTTTTTATGGATATCTTTAAGAAATGGCTTTCTTCTTGCCACTCTTCCATAAAGGCCAGATTTGTGCAGTATACGACTGATTGTTGTCCTATGGACAGAGTCTCCCACCTCAGCTGTAGATCTCTGCAGTTCATCCAGAGTGATCATGGGCCTCTTGGCTGCATCTCTGATCAGTCTTCTCCTTGTATGAGCTGAAAGTTTAGAGGGACGGCCAGGTCTTGGTAGATTTGCAGTGGTCTGATACTCCTTCCATTTCAATATTATCGCTTGCACAGTGCTCCTTGGGATGTTTAAAGCTTGGGAAATCTTTTTGTATCCAAATCCGGCTTTAAACTTCTCCACAACAGTATCTCGGACCTGCCTGGTGTGTTCCTTGTTCTTCATGATGTTTCAGTTTTTTATTTGTTAAAAAAGTTTGAAATATCCAATAAATTTCGTTCCACTTCATGATTATGTCCCACTTGTTGTTGATTCTTCACAAAAAATTACAGTTTTATATCTTTATGTTTGAAGCCTGAAATGTGGCAAAAGGTCGCAAAGTTCAAGGGGGGCAAATATTTTCGCAAGGCACTGTATGACTTGCTTTCTACAAGAAAGACTCTCATCCTATTACTAGAGTAGTTTACTCACAGCTTGAGGTTAGATAATAATCATAATGATAAAAATAATTATTACCATTTTTTATTATCATAACTTCACAATAAATTATTCACGATGAATTCCAGATCTGTTGTGAATTCAATGATGTGTGAAACCCTATTTGAACATACAGTATATCTATAGCCAGATCCTAAGGGCTAGTTTATGTGTCTTTGAAAATATTCATCATACACATATTTCAGAATTCAGGTGAGTTCACAATAAATTATCCTCAGTGAATTCCAGCAGATCAGTTGTTGATTTAAGCATTTCTTTTAAGTTATTGTGGCTGTTAAAATACATTTGGGTGTCTGTGTTATATTTCCTAGCCCTAGACTGTTGTTAGGAAAACTGCCATGCACCTGAATTTGTCTGAGCAGGTTTCCCTGCAAATGCAATTTTGGGTCAAGTGAACACCAAACATAGCCTCAGTTGTGACTCTCCTCCCATCTCAGCGGAAGTGCATTCATTCATGGCAGGGAAATATCTAACACACAATGCGCAAAAAGAATTTAAAAAATAGACTTCTGCCCAAAGAAAACTGTAAAAAGAATGCATCTGAAGCTACGTCGGCTTTGTGCCATAGAGTGAATGGGTGAACTTGGCGAAACTGAACGTCGACCCCTCAAAAACCTTCTGCTTTTTTATAGGCATGTGTATTCATGTGAACATTTTTTGTATGCATTTGTCTCACAGTGTTTATACCCCCTGTGCTCCCCCCCCCCCCCCCTTCTCTCAACCTCCAGGGAAGCTGGTACAGAAAACTGGGGCACAGAAGGCTGCCAAACACTTGCGTCAACCACTGTCCACACCAAATGCCTGTGCAGCAGGATATCCACCTACGCCGTGTTAGCGCAACAAACTAAAGACCCGGTGAGTCACCAGTGTATAGCCTGATGTGCTCTTTGGGACTTGGGAGCTAATAAAGCAACCACTACCAGGGGCCAGGTCGGTGAGCTGCTGAGTTACTATGGTATGAATTTAGCTGGTGTCCCTGTCCATTGGATTTTACTGTAAAATACGAATGGCTGCTAAGGCTGTCATGTAACGAAAGATATGGATAGTGATACGACTGGTAGAATTTGAATGTGTGAGCAGACTTTTTAACGATCATCTTTTAATGGCAGAAAATTGGTGCAGTTTTAACAGAGCTGTCAGTGTTAAATGTGTAACATGCCATTTTGATCACTGTCTTTTACTCATCTAATTATATGTTGATTGGCTGTCACTTTCCACATTATGCAATGTTTTTTGAGCTAAAACTTGATAAAGGTCAAACAGTTCAGCGAGCTACAGTACTTCCATGTGGTGCGAGAGAGATAAGCTGTCAAGAGAAAGAAAGAAAAGTAATTGTGTCTGTGTGTGATTTTGCCTGCAGCATGTAACCTGCACTTCTATAAATAGTTCACATGTGTGTTTGATGTGATTAAAGAAGACGTTTTAGCAGTTGGAGCTAAAGCTTGATAAGTCCACCCATTCCACATTGTCACCCCATGTATTTTATATTTCATCTTTCTTATACACACACCTAACCCAATAGATAATACATCTATAAAATATTTTTGCTTCTCAGTTTCCTTGCCTCATCCTTTCATCCTCCCCACTGGACCTTTTTTACATCCTTCACCATCGTTTTCACCTTGTTAACATGTTCCGCATTTCTCACTTTATGCCTCAACTCCATGATTTATTTTCATAAAATCTTCGCTTTAATTTGTCTCTATGTTACCTTGACATGATGCCCACAAAGAACAAATTACATTTAAAATCAGAAAAAGTAGAAAAATCCCTGTTTTTTTTTTTCTTTCGCTGTTGCACACTATAAGTTTTATTTTATTTTATTTTATTTTATTTTATTTTAGTTTTCCCTTTCTTAAAAAAGGAGCCAGCAAAGCAGATCCCCTGTAAGCACTAGAGGGTAACTCCAGGTGTCACAAAAATGGAAAGTGATTGTGAGGAACAGGGGATTTTAGGAAGAACTGTTCAGCTACACAGAAAAGGCCATCTGGGCTCAGCTGGCAGGGAGAGCTAAGGGAGAGAGACAGAGATGAAAAAGAGACATTGTCTGTGCAAAGAAATAATGCATTAACAACCAGAGTGTTGCTGAGGTAAAGAGCTGTGCACTTATGTGGACATCTGTCCCTGTGTAACCTGCTCAATGTAAAACATTGTGTCCATTTAGCATTCACTAGTCCTGTTCTTTTACCTCTGCTCCTTTCAGCACACTGTTGAAAATGTTCTTGTCCTTACATAAAAAGCCAGGTGCATATATAAATATGAAAAATACATTTCATAGACATTGTGGATGGCTAGTACAGACGCACTTTAAAGGTACTTTCTTTTAAAGTGGATATAATCAACAATTTTCAGTAACAGTATATGAAATGACAGTGTGAAGACAATGTAAAAGGGGTCGCTTGCAGTGATGAACCTATAGACAATTGTCATCTCATTGTGCAGCTGCTCTCTGATTTACAGAGCTTTGCAGTTTTAGCCACATCAGGCTGCTGTTTGCTGTAACAAAAACCCACTGTGCACTAGCCTCTCAGCACCAGCCTGTAGACAGACACAGTCAGCAGCTAAAGAGACACACATTTCCCTCGAGTTGGTCGAGACTGAGCTCAGAGAGAGGGCAAATATTGGACTCACATTCATCAAGTGGACACAAACACCACTCCAAATGAATGATAGTACTTTGCAACAGCTGGATGTGTAATTAACCAGCTGTTTGCTCACACATTCAACAATATCAGCTTCAAAGTTGATGATATCTGTGTTAACCTGTTTCTCAAAAGTGGGAAAAAATGATTCCAAGCTTAATAATGTAATTTTTCCCTTACCACAGAAACAAAAGCATCTCCTGGATATTCTTACAGCCACCAGTTTTATTTACTTCTTAGAAGCAGTTTTTTTCTGATGACAAATGGCTCTCACTACTACAGTAACCAGAATTAATTTTATCAACAAAAACTATAATGAAAAAAAATTCAGAGAACTTATTTTTCACCATAAAATTGAGACCAACTAAAAACTAAATAAACTAAATAAAAACTAACACTTGATAAGGAGAACTAACAACCTGCTGCAATAGTTTTAATAAAACACTACATTCACTATGGTGTTGCATGCACTGTAACAGGATTTTAAGCCCTGTGATTGGATTTTTCATACCACAATGCATCTTGGGAGTTGTTAACTTGTCACCTTTTGATTTTTATGTCCAAAGGCGTGTACACTGTAAAGTGAATATAAAAAAAAAAAAAAAATCCAAGACTCATTCATTTTAGACTGTTATTGTTTGTTTGTTTGTTTGTTCTAATGAGATTTTATTATCAAAAAGCAAAGACACCAGAAATAGCTCCTCCAACTTTGCATCTCTGTTATGACTATGTTGATAGGGGTTTCTATCTCTGTGTGTTTATTTGCTTCAGGAATTCTCTCTATTTACTGCAAGTTCATTTTAATTAATTTGATGTCAAAGAGGTCACAGAGGGTAGTACTCTATGGTACTCTATTATTGAAAAGTTAAAGGCTCCACAAAGTTACAGTATATCTACCAATCACCAGTTTTGTTGCTGGTGACCTCCAAGTTTGGATGGATGGATCCAAGTCACAGCAGCCTTGAACTTTCACTTGGATGGATCAAGACATCTAATCCATCCAAACTTGGATGAACCCAGTTGCATACTGCTTGTGATACTGAGAGTGATACACTGATTAGTCCTTTAAATTGTAGATCCCTGCTTCTTTTAAAGGCTTTGAAATGGATATTCAAATAATATCTCACAAGGTGTACACCTCCAACAATCAGATGTATTGTAAGGCTAGAGATCTCTGTACAATATTGTAGGAGTTATTATTTAATTCCTTTCTTCTCTTCCCCTGAATATTACTCCTTCTTTTTTATTAAGTGTAAAGAGGGTCAGAAAAGGCAATGGCCTCCAGGTGAGTAACTGCAGTTATTCATTATTTTGTCCCTCAAAGCTCAAATTACTTCACAGAGGTCAGGAACCTATTACAGAACTCAGGGAAACATTAATTCTCATTATTTGGAAAAACACAATGGCTGTGACCTGTGAGCTGAACGTGCCATTCCAACCACAATTTCTGGTTCCTGTGACTCCCCTTCTAGCTGAACAATATTGACTTGCCACACAGCAAGCAGGTCAGCCGTGTTGAGTGAAAAGAGGACTAGGCAGAAAAACACATCGACTTTAGTGACATTTGTCAAGAGTGTGTTAGTCATTAGCGATTCATCATTTGGCTCCAGGTACTACCATTAGCTCCAGTGCTGAGGACAGGAGAGTATGGGTCAGTGTTTTTTAGTCAATGGCTCTCAGTCAGGAGCTCTTGTGGCCAGTGCTGAGTGCATTTTGTTGCTTTAGGGTGTTCCAGAGTCAGCTTTTTATTCCAATTGAGATTGGATTCTATAAAAGAGGAGGGATAGACTGATTGAATTTGGCAACACATAAAAAAAAAAGCCCAAGCCACAGACATGCAAACACAGATAACTATAGATATGGATATATGGAAACACCCTCACACACATACATTAATACAAGCCTGTACATGCAAGAATCCACATGTAGACACACATACACACACTTGTTTTTTACTGTGTCCAGGCTGTGCAGCTGTTGGAGTATCAGCAGCCCAGCTCTGACAGCTTATCCTGGGCCTCGGCACTAGGGACAAGGGAGGTTGAGGATTAACCTCCATGTTTAATAGAAAAAGGAGGCAGGGAGGGAGGGGGTACAACAAGATGGAGGAATTTAGAAGCAGTGCTGCCATTACAGGCCGTTTACAGTGGAGCTAGGGATAGCCAGTTAATCCTGTTTACTTTCTAAAGCCTCTGAGATTTCCGTGTACATGCGTGTCTATAGAAAGACCTTCACTATCAGAAACAAGACAGAGGTTGTTACTTCAGAGAAAGAGAGGAGACACAGGGAGAAAGAGGAGTTGATTGAGTGAGGTCATGAAGCCATACAATAAACCAAACCACTTAATTCCCAAAATGACTGCAGTGAGAATACAGACCCTGGACTCATTGTCTCCACAGTGCTCATAGGGATCATGGGATTTGGAGTTGAAGGAGGTATTGGCTTTATAAAAATCAGTTTAACATTTTGTGCCTCAAGTCAGTTATATGTCTTTGCATCATTTCTGGCAGCACATAAGGCTGCTGTCCTTACTGTGTTGACATAGAAATTAATTACAGCTTCCAAGTGCCTCTGTCAAACATGTTTTCAAAGCTGCAGCATGAATCATATTTTGTGCTTGCCTAATCAGGTAACCAGAAATGCAAGTGAAAAGGTCAGTGGTTAAAACAGCACCAGAGACTTTGATCCAGTCAGCGAAGATGAGTATACAAACAAACACAGACTGGCTAGGAGATGAAAAATAACATAGCTTGAGGAAAAGGAGGGTACCTTCTGTGTTTCCATAACTCATTTATGAACCAATTACTGTATCAAAGCAATTTACTCAAAATAACAGTATGTAAAGTGATGTCTGCTTCTCCTGTAAAGGATTTTCTCACAGTTCCCTTTACCTCCACACTAATTGCCTTTGGCCCAGTTATACTCATGAAATGATTTGTATACTTGGAATAAACTGAGTCTGTTTCTTCTGCTGTCGGTACTGCTTACTGACAATCAGAATGGAAAAATCTCAGAGCTGAGTCTGTTATTTAGACTACTAATGGCCAAAGTACCTGTGGAGGGACAATGACTGAGATGCTACAAAATGACAGCTTATATTTGAACTTTATTTAAATTCACTGGAGACAGTGCTTAGAAAGAAAACAAAGGGTGCTCTAGAGAAGCAAGACTACAAGGTTACACTATGCAAATGCATTTCACTTGTCAGCTGTA